CCAATGCGGTGAAGATCTCACTGTGCATGACATATTGGATGCTCCTGGTGAAGTAATTGGGAAATCTAGCTATGGAACTCTGTACATGGCGAGTTTGATGAGGACTGACTCGGTTCTGTTGCTTCGGTTTCTGAGGCCTACGTGTACTGTGAAGATGAAGGAAGTTGTGCCTGTAATTCAGTTGTTGGGGTCAATTAGGCATCCCAATTTGGTACCTCTTCGAGCATTTTATGCAGGGTCCAGGGGTGAGACATCCCAATTTGGTACCTCTTCGAGCATTTTATGCAGGGTCCAGGGGTGAGAAGCTTCTAGTGCATCCCTTTTATGGCCGTGGAAATCTCACGCAATTCATGAGAGGTAATGTGTTTTACACCTTTGTTTTCAATTTTAATGGCTTTTGTTTTCTTGGTTGATTCTTGGATGATTTTTTTTTTTTTTATTTTGTCGTCATAGTAGTGCGTGATATTAACTGATGCCCATATCTTGGTGTAGAAAGAATGAAATGGCTTTTTTTCTTTTTTGATCAAAGATTTTATTTCAAAAATTAGTGATCAGCTGAATTACAATCATAAGAAGACTCCCAAAATATCCAAGAACGGAAAACATCAATTTTCATTACCTGGATTATCATTTTTTTTTTTTTTTTTTTTTTTTTTTTTTTTTTTTTTTTTTGCATAGATATTTTGGCTGATTTATTTTTGTGCTATCTAGTTTTTTGGAATTTAGTGCACCTTGCAGATCCTCTATCAATTACCTTTACCAAATTGGGCATGGTCATGTTCTTTGATTTTTGGTTGGTCTTTCCTTCCTTTTTGTTTTTTGTTTTTTGTTTTTGTTTTTATGTCTTCTTCATCTTTCCCTTTTAAGATTCATATCTTGGTATTACTTGACCAATTTTTCTTTCTTATTTGTCTTTTTTTCCCCCTCCTCTTTCTCTCCTTTGCATCAGTTTCTTGTTTGTTGGGTGATCTGAAATGAACTTTAAGTTACTGTTAAGTTCTTACATATTTAATTTTTGGATCTGTTATTTTGCATCAATCCTGAAATAAATTGTGTTTCTTGGTGCAAAGTTGGATTTTTCTTCTCCTTAATTGTGTAATTTATTTTACGTTCTTAATTTCTCTTTAATTAATTTTGCTGGAGTTAGGCAATGGGCTAGTGGGAAATTGGGGAAGAACTTCCCTGTTAGTACTTTAGCTGGATTTTTAAAATGAACTTTGTCTTTGTCCACATAATTCGACCCTTTGTGTAGGGATAACATATTCAAATCTCTCTCTTTCTGCACAATGTTTGTTGCAATTACATCAGTTTATCATTCTGTTTCACTCTTCACTTTTTCTTAAGAAATTATTGATCACCCCATTTGGAGTGTTGCAACACATATTGAGTCGAACAACTATGTTTTCAATGGGCAGATGGAAATGGTGATTCTCACAAATGGGACACCGTATATAGGATCTCAATTGGTATTGCCAGAGGGTTAGATCATCTTCACTCCGGATTGCAAATGCCTATAATCCATGGAAATCTCAAGTCAAAAAACATATTATTGGATCGCAATTACCAATCGTATGTGTCAGATTTCGGCCTACATCTCCTCTTGAATCCCATGGCAGGCCAAGAAATGCTCGAAGTATCTGCAGCTGAGGGATATAAAGCCCCCGAGTTGATTAAAATGAAGGATGTAAGTGAAGAGACTGACATTTACAGCCTTGGGGTGATCTTATTAGAACTGCTTACGGGTAAGGAACCAATAAATGAGAACCCAGCCCCTGATGAGGAATTTTATTTGACTAACTCCATGAGAAATGCAATCTTTGAGCATCGAATTTCTGATCTATACCATCCAGACATTCTTCTTAGGCAAAGCGGTAATCGAATCCCAGTAACTGAAGAGTGCATCCTCAAATTCTTTCAACTTGCAATGGCTTGTTGTTCTCCTTCTCCTTCTCTTAGGCCTCACATAAAGCAAGTTCTTGGGAAGCTTGAAGAAATTGAAAAGTAAGATGCTGGATTTTTTTTGCAGAAACTATACATGGTGTTGATCAGAGTCATATGAGGCAATTGATTCGAAGCTGAAATTATTGGTAGTTGTGCTAATCTAACTTTTTCATTCTCACTGGTCACAAAAATAATGATGATAGTGATGAAGACATCAATCTTTTGTGGGGAAGTAGTGGCTTGAAGCAAAAAGTTGAAAATTTCTGCCATTCAATTTTGGTTATGGATTTGTTGACATGGACACTAAGCAAAGTTTTATTGATGTGGTGGTCCCTTTGAGGAAGAATGGTTCGAATATTTCTGCAAACAAACAAGAATTGTAGAGTTGGCAATTGGATTCAGTGAATTGTAGCACATCTTTCATTTCCAAACATCAGCAAAACAGGATTGTTGATTGATTGGGTCACAACTTTCATATATGGATACATTATTTGCAACATCATTAACAAACCTCTCTACGACGCCATGGGCTTCTCTGGCATAATCGTATGGTGGAGAGAAGCGTTGGGACAGGGGAACAGGAAAGATCGGGATCACTAACATACGGATATTGAAACATTACTTGAAGCATGAAGCAAGGCTGGAGCTTAGTTACAGTTGGTTTTCTAGTTCAACTACTTGTTGTCTTGATCAGGTGAGTCTACACACTTGACAGACATTCAAGGGAATGGTATGATTGATGATCAGTTGTTAACACGTATCTTAGAACCTAAAATTGGGGGTCACATTGGAGATTTGTCTTTGGTCCATGGTAGTTGGTCCATTGGCGAGTCCTTTTCCCTGGCACATGGAAACAACAATTGTAATTTTGATGGTCTGTTGAAAAAATTAGTTTTCAGTTTTGTCTGTTTCGATGAAATCAATGTGTGTACACCTTTTTCATTCAAGATTCAACTGTATAGATATGATAAATATATTGAAAGGATTTTCCCTATATAATATTCTCTCTCTCTCTCTCTTTAAATCTTTAGCTGGCATGGGGGAGGTGTTGGGTGGTGGTTAGGTGTGAGTTGGTCTTTTATATAAGATTGCATTATCTATTGAGGTGTGGAGCTGATTATATTGATAATACAGTTACATATGGTCTAATCTCTCAATGCATGTGGCTTGCTATTTTAGATAAGATTTATGTTTGTTTATATTTCTGAAAAAATTTAAAACTGTGAGCAGAAACACATTTGATAATTGTTTTTCATAGCTTACTAAATTCTATTTAAAAAAAAAATTAAAAAATAAAAGAAGGGAGGTGCTTTACTTAGTTTATAAACAAATTCTCACTGCTTTCTTCCTCTACCTTCCCCTCTGACCATCAGTCACCATCCATCACCACCTTCGGCCACCACCCCCACCCAGCAAGTCTCCCTCCTACCTCTGGTCACCACTTTCCTCCGGCAACCCCTCACTTGTTTTCGAAAGAAGTTTTTAAAATCAAGTGTGTTCAAAATATGTTTTTTGTTTTGTGTTTATTAATATTTCCTTGAACTATAAATTTTACCAAACAACACTATATGCCCTAGATTTTTATTAAATGCCTAAAGATTTAACCCTAGATTAGAATAATCCAGTATATCATTCGGTAAGACCATCTCCAACGGTTCATCAAACCTGGTATCAAATTCAAAATTTGATGAAAAAATCACTTTTTTGAGCTCCAACGGTTTCACCAAATCGATATCAAATCCAGAATTCAGCAAATCTTTTACCAAAACGAGAACAGGCGAAGCATTTCACCAAATCACTGTTCCTAATCGTTGGGAGAGATCAACCGGTCAACCAGCCGGTTGCCCGGCCGGTTGACCAACCGGTCAACCGCTTAAAGGTTCAAACGGTTCGAAGAAAAGGTTCAAATAGTAAACAAACTTGATACTAGTTCAACACTTTCGATTTAAACGTGTAATTAAAATACCTTATTTATCCCACCTCTTGTTCAACTTGTAAAAAAGTTCAAAAAAAAAAAATCAAAAAAAAAAAAATAAAAATAAATTTCGCTTAACCGGTCGACCAACCGGTTGTCCCCGACACAAATTTGATGAAAGTGCAGCGTTGGAGAGAGTGGTATCAAATTGGTAAAATGGGTCATTTTTTACTCAAATTTGGTGAAAAATCTGATTCACCGTTGGAGATGCTCTAAGTTTGGAAAGTTTTACCAAAAAGTTATTTGGTGGTATTTGTTCCACACCATTCAAAGTATGACACTTGTCTTATTATCTCCTCAAAAGAGACAAGAAGTGATAGTCTACTATTTTGGCCAATCGGATTCAAATTCAAACACTAGGCCATGTTTGTTTGGGTGGACATGAGTTTGGGATTGGACTAATAATCCAATAAAATTATTAATCCGTTGTTTGGTTAAACAATTGAAGTACGGACTAATTATTTTAAACTTGACTATTAGTTAAGATAGGATACATAATCCAACGAATTCGTAGTCCTAGGACTATTAGTCATAGGAATGCTAATCCAGTCTGCCCAAACAAACATTACTCCTAGACTAAAACACTACGGGTATGTTTGATTGGATAGATTAGAGTATGCGATTGGTATTATTAATCCGTGGGCCCAATTATCCTATGTTTGTTTTAACATTTTGGTTTAGGATTATTAATCCAACAAATTTGTAGGATTATTAGTAATGGGGTAAGGGTGAGATTATTAATCCAATGGATATTAATCCAATTGGATAGTGAATACCACACTAATTTAATAAGATTATTAATATTTCACTATTAATCTTGTGAATCAAACATGACCTACATGTATTTACCCCTAGACTAAAATATATTTTCCCGTTTTATGAGGGGCATTGTATGAAGATCAGTTGACAGTTACTTTACAAACATAGAGTGGTGGGGTCAACACATTGCAGTTGTGTCTTTGGTTATTGATACATTATTGAGATCAATTTTTCCTTAATAAACAGAAGCAATTGTCCTTGTGGTTGTTTGTTAGAAAACTACTTCCATTTCTGTCATTGTTGATAAATTCAAAGTGTACAACAGTTTTAGGTTCTAAATTCAATGTTACATAAATATGATAGTCCAATATTTCATTAACATAACCCTTTTATCCTCCTGATATTACAATAACAACATTCTTCCTGTTCATCACAACACCCTTCTTATTTCTGTTAATTTCACAATTTCAACTTTCATATTTGGAACAAATGCTAAATTACAAGCAAGTGATCCTGTACATCACGGCACATAAAATGCTATATGCAGAACAATTCTTGCAAGAAATCACCATCATCATCATTGTCATCATCAGAAGCTATGAACAATAAGCAATATCACTGTTTTCCAGACTTCCACTCCATAATAGCAGAAAGAAGTGTATAATTTGGTATCAAACTTTTATCTGGCAAGGGTAAATTTGTCATTGGAGACTTATCATCCTCCTTGAGCCATATCTCTATAGCTTTGCGATCGTATGTATAGCCATCAGCAGCAACACAAGGGTCTTCCATTACATCCTGGAAGAGAAACATATCAATTGCCATTATCAAATAAAAATAAGGAATTTGGGCAGAAGAAGGAATACATATCCAGGCATATATAAGTTAAAATTGCAGAACTAAACATCGATCAAAAACTAATATTTAAGATCACAATTATTAAAAAATGAAATCAAAGTTCTCGAGCACAAAGTTCATGATAATACATCTTTGCATTATTAGGACAAGTTACATAACAAATTGACAAGTCATGAGTAATTACAAAAGGAGAAAGTGATTTTCATAAGGCTCTGTTGGATGCTAAAATGGGAGGAAATAATTTAATGTCAAATGATAAGTTAAAAAAAAAAACCTGCACAAAGCTGCTTTTTGTCAAGTGCATATCCATTACCAGTTGTGTGACTAGCCTATATTCCAATTTAAGGCTACAAAATTGAGTTGTTTATTAACAGCTCGTGTTTGGTTCATTTAAAACTTGTTTGAACTAGACTTATTTGCTAAATGAATGAACTTGAGCTCAAGTAGGCGCAAACTTAATATTTATTTTTAATAATATATCAAATATATTTTCATTAATTAATATAATTAATATGAGAATTATTATTATTTTTTTTTCCGTTCATAATTTTCTCTCTTTCTTTTAATATGGAGATTCATTTAAATTCAAGTTTTCCTTTCAAGCTCGAGCTCCACTCGTTTATGGAATTGAGCTGAGCTCAAGTTTCTCAAATACTTGATGAGCCGAGCTTGAGTTGGAGCTTGACTAATTTCTAGTGAGCTAAGCCCAAACACCCTAAAGTTTGGTTCATCTCGGCTCATTTGCAAAACCCTATTTCCAAAAAGTCAAAAAAAATAGAATAAATCATTCCCTACTTCCGCGATAACCTTATCTTCAGCAAAAAAATGAGAGCGTTTGGAGATTTCATAGTACATTTCCAAATTGACATGATCTACAATTCCATTTAGAAATGCGTAGAATCAGTTCAGCAAATATTGATAGTAAAATGTGACATTGGCAGGCATACCTTAAGTATTGGGCACATGAAGAGGTTAGGAGGTGCCAGTTGAGCATTGGATGCCATATCTGGTGCCCTGTCTGCAAACTCTTTCAATCTCTCCAGTTCAGGGAGAACATGATCTCTCAAATCAGGTCTATCTCTACGTCGAAGCTCTGCACATTTCAGTCCCAATACAGCCAATTCCTTTGTCTCTTCAATCGGCCATTGTCCCGCTTCTATATCAAGTAAATCCGCTAAATGGCCATCTTCAACTGCCAACTCCACTGTATGGGCTAATGCTATGGCCGGTTTTGCAGTCAACAACTGCAAAATCACCATTCCAAATGCATAAACATCGGATGATTGAGAGATTAACCCGGTCCTCTGATACTCCGGATCAATGTAGCAAAGTGTCCCCACAGGTCCCGTGTCCTTGCTCAAAGTTGATATAGCAGAAGATTCTGAGTTAAGCATTTTGGAAAGCCCGACATCACCAATCTTGCTCACAAAGTTGTGATCGAGCAATATGTTTGCGGGTTTCAAATCACGGTGGATAATAGGTTGTGGCTTTGAGTTGTGGAGGAAGACGAGGGCTGAGGCTATTTCCCAAGCGATTCTATACCTGTCAAACCATGGGATAGGAGGTGTGTTGTTTTTTCGGAGCAACCTATCTTCCAGGCTGCCATTCTCCATGTACTCATAAACGAGGCAACCATGATCGGGACACGCGCCGAGAAGAATTAGTAAATGGGGATGATGAATATTGCTCAAGATCTCAAGCTGAAAACCAATAAACAACTTTGATAAGTATTTAAACTCTGAATTGTGGTAACCTAAGAAGCACGAACCCTTTTAAAATAGTGGCGTGTCTGTGTCGGACATCAACATTTGTTGGACACTTTCCGACACGTGTCCGACACTCACCCAAACATGTCTTAATTTTAAAAAAATAATTTAGACTCGTATACTTGAAGGACACACGTGCCCATTGCTTAAACAAACATGTCAATTGAATGCACATATGAAACTAATTATAAGGTTGAACAAAATAACTTAGAATACGATTAGAAAAGAAAAACAATATCAATTTATACAAATTAGTATTATATTGCTTTTATTTATTGTCTTGGAAAGATATATTCATATATATGACATGTAATAAATACAAAAAAATTATATATTCGTTGCTTGTCCCCCACGTGTTGTGTCCTGCATTTTTTTAGAATTCCCGTGTTCAGCGTGTCCGTGTCATGTCATGTGTCTACGTCCATGCTTATTAGGTGGTAACCTTTAGTCCTCAATTTTCAAGTTGTTGCGAATAAGGAATACAAGCAAATTGAATAGATAACACGAAAATGACAGTTTTTTTCTTGGTAAACTACTTTGTATCTGAATGCTGGAAACAGAAAACAAAACAAACAGTGGACCCAGGAAACAAGCAGTAAGGGAGCTTCTAATTACACCTCATTCATATCTCTTTGCACTCACATGTACAAGACTTTCTTCATAAATTACGAGTATTTCAATGCACTGAGAAATTTAATGAGTCTGATCCCAAAAATTGCGAAGTGAAAGACATCTTTCACCCTGACAATCAATCTTAAGGGAACTACTTTTTGGCACTACTTGCTCATCTGAACTTTATTTCAGAATTTTCCCATTAGTTGAATAGGATGGGCTTGAGACCAAGCAGAGTCGGTGACAGACAATATGCCCTCTGAGGATATTCAAATGCATTGGATAATTTAAAATTGAAAATCAGAAAGTCCTTCAACACATTCATCTAAGTGCTTATATATCTTAAAAGGGACAAAAATAAATAAATGAATAAATAAAACAAACAAAAAAAGGTAATGATTTCCTTGTTGTAGAGTGATCCGGACATGTGTCCGTGGATGTTGGTAGTTGATCATTATCTTGTTTACATCCTTTCTTACTTTGTATTTGAGTTATAGTATGTGTTGGGCAGGTTTGTTACAGGTTGGTTGAGTTTAGAAACCAAAACTAGTTGCCTAGATTTTGACTGTCCGCTCGAGTGGGAGTTTTGACGCTCGAGCGGGGAATACACCCATCCAGTATTTCCTGTGCAGTGTTGGACGCTCGAGCGGGGTATTGGCCGCTCGAGCGGGAGGTTGTGAGTGACGCTTGAGCGGGGCTTCGAGCGCTCTCACGCTTGAGCGGGGCTTCGAGCGCTCGAGCGGGGCTTCGAGCGCTCGAGCACGGACCTGTTGTGTCGAGATGCTGGGAGAGTGCATCCGGCGCTCGAGCGGGGGTTTGGACGCTCGAGCGGGACGACTGGGTTTAAGTTCCGAGTTTTGACTTTTCAAATCACTTTTTCACTTTCTCTTCTCTCTCTTACTTTCCCAAAAACACCATTGTTGAGCCTCTCACTGTAGAACTCTACCTTCTCTCTAGGTTTTGATCTAGTATGAGTGATTTGCTCATCTTTGGCCTTTACAAAAAAGTTGTTGATCGTCGAGGGCTACATTTTAATTTGAAAATTTCGGGATTTGGAGCACGTTGGGTTTTGTCATCTTCTCCCTTGGGGCTCCGGATTTGAGGTAGGGATATCCTACTCCTCTCTATGGATTTTGTCTTTAAATTTTAGTATTTTGAGATGTTGGGGTTGGTTTGGTAATTTTGTGAAAGTTTGGGACTTTTGTGTTATTTTACAAAGATTGGGGTTTTATTTATAATAAACATAGATGCATGTTTGGCATAGAGAAATAGAATAAATATTGAATCATTGATGAAAATGGGACCTAAGGGTTGTAATGTTAATTATAAAAAATGACCTAATTACATTGTTTGATTAATTGGGATAATTAATTGTGAGAAATGAGGAAATGCAATGAAATTGTTGAGATTGGAAATGTATGGGGAAAAAGGGTGTAGTTGAATTATTTATCACTCACCGAAATGAAATGTTGATTGAATATCCATTTGTGCATTTATTTTCTGTTTAAAAATAACTGCTTTGGGCTATCGGTGGAGGATAGTCGTGATTGTTGTAGACAATGGAAGATAGAGCTCATATGCTTATCTTTGAGAAGTGTAGATACAGCTCATATGCTTGTCTAGAGAAATGAAGATAGAGCTCATATGCTTATCTTTGAGAAGTGTAGATACAGCTCATATGCTTGTCTAGAGAAATGAAGATAGAGCTCATATGCTTATCTTTGAGAAGTGTAGATACAGCTCATATGCTTGTCTAGAGAAGTGAAGATAGAGCTCATATGCTTATCTTTGTGAAGTGTGGATACAGCTTATATGTTTATCTGTGAATGTGGGATATTGTTGTTATACATATCTGTTGGGAATGTGGATATAGCTTATATGCTTATCTGTGAATGTGGGATATTGTTGTTATATATATCTGTTGAGAATGTGGATATAGCTTATATGCTTATCTGTGAATGTGGGATATTGTTGTTATACATATCTGTTGAGAATGTGGATATAGCTTATATGCTTATCTGTGAATGTGGGATATTGTTTTTATACATATCTGTTGAGATGATGATAGAGCTAATATGCTTATCTGTTGAAAAAGGGAAAATGAAAAGTAACTTGGACTCATAAGTCGTACGACAAAAAAAGTGTGATTTATGTGGATGTATCAGTGTTGGCCATCTATCAATTGCTAATCTTTTAGTCATTGTTCACGGTTGGTTTAGTGTATTTCTACTGGGCTGTGACTCACCCTATATGGGAATATCATTTTTAGGTACAGGTAGCATGCCATCTCCAAGATCATAGCTTGGGAGGCTAGAGGCGGGCAGATTTTTGTTGTTTAAGTTCCTTTTTGATGTATTACATGTACATTCAAGCTGAAGGGCTTAATGTATAGATGAGTTAGCACTCTTTTGTTGTAACCAAGTGTTAACTTGAAAAGCTGTAAGCCCGTAGGACATTTTGCTTTTGTTGTTAACATGTAATACTTTTGTAATGAAACTCTGATGAATAGAAGAATGTGGATATTTCGTATGTCAATGAATGTTTTATTTGATGGGTTTAATGTTATTTTTTTGAGGGCGTTACAATTGCTGAACTTCCATTAAACTTCCATGTAAAACCTAACAAGAATGCCTGACAAACATAATCCTGGAAACTAGGCTATCGAAGGGATTGAGAAGCTCTTACAATTTAACTGATACCAAGAAGAGCTTCCTGTAGTTTTACTGACAAGTCATGAGCACAAGCAAACCAAATCAAAATAGAACGGAAAATAATTTACCTGGATTTCAGATGAAAGATCTGAAGGAGCATCTGAGGTGGAAGCGGGATCAGATATCCACGACTGGTTATCTGTTATCAAGCTCCTGAAACTTGATACCCTACTATTTGAACAACCAATATCTGAGGTGCTAGGACAGGAGCTCATAACATCTTCAACTTCCCTAATATCCAGGGATGATATTCTTGAATGACTGGTGTCGGTTGAATTTGTTTTCTTGTGAAGAAGGGTCTGGTTTATAGTTGAAAGTGCTTGAAACCGTTGCATTGGCAGTGAAGGAGAACGGAAATGAGTATATGAAGGAACTGAGCCTGGATCAGTCCATTCTGCAGACCAGAAGGAAAATTAGATTTTAATTCTTTATTGGCATAAACATAGTAATTCCACAGAAACAGAATCTCCAAGCAGAAATCCCTTATGATACACCAGATCGGGCTCAGTTATTGATAGAGTGAATATATCTTCCATTTCTTGAAATCTCTCTTCTAATACATATCATATGGAAACGAAAGAGCATTCTTTTCAATCTTACTTTTGAAAAATAGCACTGCCTCACTAACAAAACTTTAGACTATGTAACATGGTCACAGATACAGATACGGACACTAGATGAGGGAATGACACAACACAATAACGGATGCCACCACAGAAAATCTTAAAAAGAAAGCACACTAACACCGTGAGAACGTGGTATAGAAAATACATACCTTTATGTATTTTGTATTGTTAAAAAATAAAAATCAAAATCAAAATCACGGTGAGGACCTTGTGATTTAGATTATTTCAACTTCTATTTTCAAATTGCATAACTTGGAAGATGAAGCTCAACAAATTGCATAACTTGCATACAAATTGCATAACTGTGTGTAAATATTAGAAAGCATCCATTGCAAGTTTGAATGACTTGTTTTAGCCAATGCTTATGATATTCTGTTTCTTCTAAAATAGTGTTGAATGTGTATAGGCCTTGTGCACGATGTGCCTTGATATGTTTTGAAGATTGACAATAAATTGTCCTACATACTAAGTTTTTAAAGATAAAAAAAGAGAAAATATCATTTCGCCTCCCAAACTCTCACATGTTTTTCAATTTGACTTCCAGACTTTGATTAATATCAATTTTACACCTAAACTTTCAAAATTTTGATTAATTTGGTCTCTGCCGTCACATTCCGTCTATAATTGGACAAAATGTGCTGACGTGGGGGGCAAATTGATTTTTATTTTAATTTTTTTTTTTTGAGGGGGGGGTTTATATTTGGAGGGGGGGAATTGATTTTTAAGGTATAGTTTGGGGGGTAAATGAAATTTCAAATGAATTTTGGTGACACGTTAGCACATTCCATCCAATTGTAGACAAAATGTAACAACAGGGGCCAAATTGATCAAAATTTAGAAAGTTTTGGTGTAAAATTGATATTAATCGAAGTTTGGGATCAAATTAAAAAACACGTGAAAGTTTGGAAGGCAAAATAATAGTTCCTCGACAAACAAATGAGACATCTAGAGACACACCCATACCAATACACTCCATGTGCATTGCAAAATTCCAGTGTGGAAGGAATGTACTACAAGAATCACTAAAACTTACATTGCATTAAATATATATATATATATAATATGAATATCTTCATGCAAGTACATCTTGTGTTTTCCATGTATGGAAGAAGTAATATTAAATTGCAGGTTTAGTGTGCAGCATGCAAAGTGGTCACAATTAGGGATGGTTTAGCATTGTGTTAGACTGTTTGGTGATCATATCTTTACGTATAATAGGAGCAATAAAAACACGGCAACAATAGCATAAAGTTGATGAAGCTACATCAAACACATATGTGTGCCGATTTCATTGCACCCATTCTTATTAATTACAAGATTTAAGTAGAATACCTGCTTGTGAGCTGGAACTGTAACTTGACGAATCATTGTTAGAGCAACTTGTCTCACTACTGTCATCTTTAATGCTTCCAATTGTCTCCAAATCAGATGGGCGCAAAGATGACAACTTTCCCTTTGAAACAGCATAGACCGTACAAAAGCTTGGAGCAGATTCTGAGATTTTTGAGGAAAAGTTTCGTCCTCTAATTTTTCAACAAACAGTACTTTGTTAATACAATAAGTTAATTTCATTCTCAAGGTTTTGTTAATTGAAAAATCAGGAGAGGCACTATACAGAAAGATGTCAATTTCATTTTGAAATAATGACATGTCAAGGACTGGTTTTTGTTTTTTGTTTTATATTCCCAATTCACAATTCCTCCTTCGTGGCAGTGAAATTTTTATTTTTATTTTTTTCCATTTGTAAAAGGGGTGACCATTGATTCAATGGTTAAGACTTGACTTAATAACCTTGAAGTTATGGGTTCAAGTCATGGGACCACTACTTTATGCATTATGCTAAAAGTTAAGTGTGTATTCAATCTTTTCCCTTCCAAACACACATTAATGTATACTAATTTAGGGGTTTTTTTTTTTTTTTAATAATTTTTTTCTCATTTGTAGTGGCTGCTTTGTTGAATGGTATTATCAATACCACACCCACAAAGACAGCCCACAGGTTTGAATCCCCCTTTCCACTGTCCTTAGCCTCTATATATCTCTACATCTCACAGTATGACCCTTTCTTGAAATTGACGAGTGAGCACCACAAGTGCTCCCTTCCGGAGAGGGAGAGAGAGAGAGTGTTGAGGACCACAATGATTGCAATGACACTAGCCATATGCTTCTTGTACTCTGATTGTTAATGTGCTCACCCTTCACTAGGCAGGCATTCAATGATTGATTACTTCTTAGTCCTTAGTGGACCAGAATCAAGAGCTTTACCAAGTTAAAAATGCAACAACATTATCAAGATTCAACAAGAAAACATGAAAGAACTTCGACCATCTAGTTGGTGTGTCCGAAGAATCAAAAGATGTTTTGTTCATACACCCTATTTTGATTTGATTAATCTGTCGATCAAATGCAATCAAATACAATCAAGCAGAATCAGATTTTAATGGTCTATTCAAATGAGACTTGAAGTGCATTGCAATAGTTTTATATTGGAAAGTTGGGAGTTTGCTACCTCCCTAGTATCAATATGATGACAAGATTGCGATTTATGTATATAAAGATTAACATCTCGGAAAATTAAACAAGGGAACCAGGTAAGTACCACATTATTGACCAGAGCAGCATAAGCTATGTTGGTACCTTGAAAACATGCCACGGGATGAAGTTCCTATAACAAGCTTGTTGATAGTGGACTTTGTGATCTCGTTTGATATGGCATACACTACATCATCTGATTCAATTTGTAGAATTTCTACTTGTACCTGTATTTGAATCACTAAAAGTTAGCCTGTTAACCCTTTTAATTCTTGCTTTCAAAGAGAAGCTCAAGCACGACCAAATATAACCTTTTTTTGAGTACACATTTTTTTGTAAGGTAGAAGCTTTTCATTTGTTTGCCATTCCACTTCTTTCCTGTAAGCATCTGCTATATCGTCTCGCACTTGTGAAAGAGGAATAAAATTTCCCACTGGGAAAAAGGGGGTGAACAGCACAAGTCAAATGAAGAGAAAAGAAGCTATTCAAATCTAATTTCTATTGTATTAGACATTAAGCTATACGTATTTCTTTTGTTGTCATGATCACTTTTGTCATCGAGTTTGTATCTGTTCTGTAAAATTCACAACTTAAATCCATGGAACAATCAAAAGTAAAACACAGATGTTCATCTATTCTATTCTATTAAGCACACAGTTCAGAAGGTTTTAAAGCTATGTACAGCAGCAGCTTCTTTTTTTTTTTCTTTTTTCTTAAAAAATGGCCATTATATTACATGCTTCAAAAAATAACTGCTAACATTAATCAAATTCAACCCATCTTCTTCATTCATCAAATTACCAAAATTTTTTGATTTAAATTACAAACACATCGCGTTTGCACCCACTGCTAGTAAGCTTATATGGAAGCTTAAATTATTTGCAGATAATAACCTCAAGATCAGCAAATTAATATTTTCCATGTAAATAACATCGCAGCTGATAATTATATCAAAGCTAGGAAACAATTTTGTGCCTAGAAGGTAAAGTTTTGGATTGTGAAGTCACCAACTAAGAGAGGAAAATACTACCAACATAGTACCCAATAGATGCATTTTCTTCTCATTCTTTTGAAATCATTAGATATATGAAAGATTCAATTTGTGTTATGATTATGACACAAAGTATCCCCAAATAATATTTGAATGATGCATAACTTACTAGGTGATGGAACCGCAGTTATATTAGGGCGGACATGTAACAACTTGAATATAGACTTGCCATCCGGGACAAACTTCTCCAATGCCCACTTAACGACATATTTGCTTTTTCTATTTCCATTGATAGCGACTGCAACAATTAAAGATGGGGGAGGAGGTAGTCCGAGTAAGCCTCTTGCTTCAATTATTTCACTCCCATCCATTATTCTAGATTTCCTTCAGCACTTAATCACCTGTAGTTTGGACATAAAACGTAAAAAACCATATGAACATGGATGGTCGTAGCATTAGTATGAAAAGAAACAATTTCAATCAAAATTGAAGCAAATTAACTAGAATAAGTCACAAGGAAAGGAACTTAGGTTGTCATTTCTCTTTTTACAATCCCACACAATATATTCTAATCCCTCGAATCAATACTTTTCTTTCATTTACAAATAAATCAAATGGTTTAATCCATCTGTTGGGAACAGATATTGATTGAAAGCCAGAGAAACATAATACCCAATAAAATTTTTGAACTGGCTATAAATAGAGAAAAGAAGAAACTCATAAATTTGAACTTCTTTAGAAAACTTCAATCATGGGAAAGTTTTGCTTCAATTAATCTAAAGAATAAAATACAAAATTACGAGGACCCCTTGTTGGGTCTGTGGACCCTGGCAAGTACTGTTCACTCAATTCTAGGTCCAATCGGGGATTTGGGGGCCTCTCCCAAGGAGAGAAGGTTCAGGGGCGCCTCTTTTAAAAAAAGAGAATTCTATTATTTTCTGATCAAAGTGAAAGATACAGCAACTGTAGACGTAACCCTATTCTGGACTGATCATGTAAATCTTTGTGTTTTATTTGTGTGATTGGTTTGATTTGTTTTATCTTTCTTATTTGTTATTTCGTGTCTTACCAATCCTGGTTAGGAAGAAACGTTTTCCTAACACCCCTGTTACAGAGAGAGAAGAGTGCAGCTCCTAGTTTCCCCACCTGAACCCAAAAACCCAGAAATGAAAATAAATTGAAACTCAAACCGTGACACAATACATACATAGAGAAAGAATGAGAGGGGGGGGGGGGGGGATTCTCCAATAGCCACACAAAAACCCGACACCAAAAAACCCAAAACCCAGAAATAAGCATGGAAGGAAACTCAAAACTTTGCTCACTACAACACATACAATAGATATTTTCACATATAAATATATATATATAGAGGGAGAGAGAGAGAGAGAGAGAGAGAGAGATTCCCAACAACCACACTTGAATTCTAACACACTTTCATTACATTCAGAAAACAAAACACTAAACCCAAAAAGATATGCATATACAGAAATTTCAGAGAAAGACATGAAAGCAAAACATGAATGAAACAAAATCATACCAAACATTTCAGAACAAAAGCTCTCACAAAACCCACATGAAGCAGCAGTTGAACCACCCAAGATTTAGAGATCCAAACTACTACAATTATGTAAGCAAAAAAACAATTGGGCAAAATTAGAGACAGATGTGAACCTGAAAGTAGCCGCCAAAATACACAATAATTATTAAAGCTCCAAAATTAGAGCCAAACCGTGCCGTAATGCATTATCCACCTCTGATAATTACTCGTATTCTGGTTTTCTTCTTGGCCAATGAAACTCACTTGTCACGTCATGATGCCCCTGTTTATATTTTACAAGACTTTCTTTGTTTCTGGTTCTGATGTGATATTTTCAAAATTACTGTGCTTGTCAATGAATAGCTTATGTTCTTAATTTATTTTAAAGTCAATATTTCATTATCCCATATGTGGGAATTCAAGAACCAGTTGGGTTTTTCTTATTTTTCTATGTTTAATTTTTATTTATTTATTTTTTTTGTAAGGCAGTTTCTTACCAATAGGCATGTTTTTTTTTTGGGTGGGTAACTCATAGGCATTGGTTGGTATAGTCTTCAACTGTTTTAAGGAACTGTTTGGGTATCAAAAGTGATGCCCCAAAAATGCATTAATGATCTCCCTCTCTTCATCTGTTGAATGTCAATGGCCAATTTCGGTTTTTTATTTTTCCCCCCTAATTATTTATTTATTTATTTTTATTTTTTATTTTTATTCTTTTTGTTTGTGAGGTAGGCTAGGTGATTGTGCCTCCGTTTGGGAAGTGGGTTGGCTTTTTGGCTTTTTGGGCTATTTTAGCCTGGGCTTAAAAGCTTGGTTTGGGAAGGACTTTTTGGCTTTTTGGCTTTTTTGAGTTTTTTTGTGAGAGAAGAATGTAATGATTATGGGTTGGATGTGATGTTTTGTTTGTTATGGCTAAAATAGCCTATTTTGTCTTTTGTGATTAAAATAGCCAAAAAAGCCCAAGAACCAACTTACCAAACAGAGGCTGTTTCACGATGATTGTCATTTGAGCAGTCTTCTCTTCAGCTAAGAATATTAAGGGATTATTTGGAAATTAATAAATATATGTTTCCCGTTCCCATGTTTGATAGAGCTTATTTTAAAAATAATATATAAGATAAATTATAAATATACCTTCTAAAATTTGATTAAAATATAAATTGTTCTTGTGATTTTGAAAATTACATTCTATCTCTTGAGATTTCTAATTTTATAACAAATCGCCTATTTTATTAATAAATCATCAAGTCAATTAACAGTTTTAATGATGTTAGAAATATATTTTAATTAATAATTTGGATAATTTTATTATTGTATAGGAGAACAATTATGAATTTCACTTTTTAGTTAATTCGGTTAAATAAAAAATAGTAATAAGGAGGTATTTGTAATTTTCTAAATCACAAGGGACAATCTCTACTTTAAACAAATCTCAGAAAGTGTATTTATATTTTATCCTAATATATAAATAAAAGATTATTCATGATTTACGACACAAAGTATGAGATGTATTTTTGAAACTGTTGAGCTAAATAAGTTTAGACTTAAATCTTTTGAGGTCAAAATAATATGCTATTTGTTCAAAAACTTAACAACAATGATTCATACTACTAAAAAAAAAAAATTTACTAATAGCACTAATGCATTGAGAATACAAAAAAAAGAAAAAGAAAAGGCATAGGCGGTGGGCCGCCTCATCATTAGTGGTGCTATTAGAGCACCACTTTTAGTGCTATCAACTATTTTTCAAAACCTAATTCCTTGTCTATCTATTCAAATACACTTACGTATATGTATTACTTATTTGTCTAATTACTTGTTCAAATGTGTACACGTGTTATCTATCTATGCAATTATTTGTTCAAATGTCCAACTATCTATTAAAATGTATCACTATTTATACATGTGTCACCAATCTATTTGCCTATGTATTCAATATCTCCTATCTGTTTAACTCACTGCCACTACCACTAGTTGTTGCCGCCATCAACCACCTTCCACTGATCGCCAGTAACTTTTCAATGACTTTTCCGGCCAATTTTCTTACGTTAACTAATTTTTTGGTGATTTTTCAACATGTGTCATTCTTACTAAATAAGATTAATCATTTTACCTAATGTTTAACGCAACCCAATGGATTTGACATGGTAGGAGGAGAGGTAATCAAAGATTGCATAATCAAATTCCAAGACCAAACATCTCAAATCTTGAGGTCATCAGAAGTTGGCCCAGTTGTTAATTTAAGAATATGAGATTTGTTGTGTTACTTGTAAATTAATTCGAACACCTAATTATAAAATAAAATAAAAAATAAATAAAAATATTCAAACCAAACCCCATGCAATTATTTACTACTAAATTGATTTTGCATGAAACAGGCTTATTAAAAAAGAAAAAAAAAAAGAAGTGAAATGAAGAGAAGAAGAATAATCAACTTGAAGAAGAGAATAATCGACTTGAATTCACGCTCTTTGCTGTTGGTAAACATTTTCTCAACGACACTATTCCAATGAGTCAAATGACGGAGATAATGTGTAACATGTATTGACTTTTGGGGCTCAATGTTTTAATACATGATGTTGGGTTCTTGGAAGTATCTTTCTAGCTATATGAAGGTTTTTTTTTTTTGTTAAATTTCTTTGAAGTTGTCTTATTACAGTCTCAATCATTCAACTATATAAAATTTTCGATAGACTGAAATTATTTTAGAACATGTCAAAGACAAAAGAGCCCCCCAAATTTATGTTTGGGTTTAGGGAATAAAAGACCATAAAGCAATTTTGTTGTTATGTAAGCAAAACTTATGTCTTTTGCACCATTGATAATGAATCTTCTCACAATTAAACTTTGGATTGTATTTAAAACATACATTTGAGTAAAAATTAAAAAATAAATAAAAAAATAAGTGAAATGTGGATGAAATATAATTATATTTCACTCATTTTTTTTTCTTTTTATAAATCTATATTTAAATTCATAATTCAAATACAATTTTAAAAAATCATAATATAGATAAGACTGATTTTTGGGCAACTAAGCAAAATAAATAAATAAGTAATTTTGGACTAATGATCAAACACTCAAGCTATGGTGGGGAGAATCCTCTATCTCAAATCTCTCCATCTTCTTATCCTTAATTTAGAGCATCTCCAATGATTTGTTATTGGAGCTATTATTGTCATAATTTGGCAGTTGAAGATGAAAAGTGTGCTCCAATAGCTGGTTATGGTAACTGTTAAATTTGGCAAATGCCAAAATTGCCAACTCATCAACCAAACCCCCTCCCCCCTTACCTCCCAGTAAAACATCCCTCCCTCCTTTCCTTTCACTTATCATTTTTGCCAAACACAGAAACTGGTGTGTTCAGGGCGACCGATCGATTGTTTGAACACACCAATTTCTGTGTTGATTCTGCTAAAATGACATATGACTATTGAAGCACTATTACTATAATTATACTATTCATTATCAAATTATAGCAATGACAATGCTATTAATTGCTATTCTACAACGTGATGAGGCTCTTCAAGTTTGATCATGTAAAGATGGGAATAGAGGATCAGGTTTTCATTTTGGCATATGCACACACTAATTCTTTAATTTTAAGTCCCAGAAGTTATCCCTCTATTGTTAGGCATTTTCTTTAATAATATTATGATGTTCATATTTTTTATTATTATTATATTTCATTTATCATTTCACCACAACATTGATAACTTGTAGACTATACAAGCGAGCATCAAGTCCCCCAAGAGGGTTACATCCCAAATTGACAAGTCAGTGTGAACTTATCATTTGGTTTATTAAATTATTTATTCAACTAGAACGCATTAAACTAAGACAGTAATGACATGTAAAAATAATAAAAACAATTTAATACATAAATGTAGTAATTATGGGGCTATATTTTTGTGAATGACAACACGTAACCAAGGTGGCACCAAAGTGCCAGTCGAGGTGCCATGTATCTCGGTCATGGCGCCGAGGTTATCTCGGCTAGGCCGAGGTTATCTGTGGAGATACCGGAATCTGAGATGAACGGATAAGGGACAAGACTCCTAGAATGGGAGAGGACCTCAGTTTGGATAAAGATGAAACTCTTAGGAAGTTTATCTTTATCTATTTGAGAGTTCAGGATGAGCATTGAGCCAGAGTCCAAGAGAAGCTAGGTTTCTACAGGGATCAAGTTAGTACTGGCTATAAAAGTAAGGCACCCTGGTAGGTCTAAAGTACGCTTTTTGTATTATGGCTTAGTGAGTTAAGCACTGTTTACTATCTTCGAGAGATAACTGAGTACTGACTTGATCGTCGGAGTGTCCCCGGGTGGACGAACCACCGCTGGAGTCTTATCTTTCTGTGACAGGTTGTTCGGCACGAGATCTATTCTGTCGGTGCTCTCCAGCTGGGTACCTGTTTGGCAGTGTGGTCAGAAAATAACATCCACAATTTAGCGCCGTCTGTGGGAAACGTAAGAAGAATAGATAGCCAACGACGGACAGAAAGAAAGAGTTGGAGGCGACATCACTAGTGGGAGCGGTAAAAACGCCAAACCTAACGTAGAGGTGGACAACAGTCACAAAGAACCTCGGGATAAGAATCCCAAAAAAAAAGACGTCGGCCAAGAGGGAGACGTGCCGAAGAAAGCATGTCCGGGTGGGTATTACTGTAGACTGCCCGAAACTCCCGCTCCGCGCGCGAGGGTGCAAATTGTTTTGTTCTTAGCTACTACAGTTCGGACTCATGTCACGGTTCTGAATCTAATCTCACAAATTGCAATGTGAGACCGATAAATCACCAAAGAGTCCAAATCCGGCAAATCGTTTTGGAAAATAGATTTTAATAAAGAAGTGCCAAACATGGACTGCTTTGCCAGATATAGAGTCACTACCCAAATGTTTTATTTTGGGAAATTTAGGAAACCCTGACTCATGCCTAAGGCCACGTGTCTGTCATCACCTAAGTTGCCTCGGCTTGGGAACTTGAGTACGAGAGGGGAAGGTCATGCAATGAGCACCCCTGCTCGCCCGATCAAAGATCGGTCTTTACTAACATGATATTTTGTTTTTGAAAACACATGCGTTCTTATTCCGATTATTAATCTAGAATTACTATATGATGCACGCAGCATACAAGTATAGACTAGATCGCTTAAGTTGGAACAAAACATTGCATGTTCGTTTGTTTGAAAACGGTTTAAAGTTTGCTACTCGCAAGTAGGCTAAGACGAGGATTTTGATGAATTGTTCCAATTCAAGCAATCCAACCTTCACCCACAGGCATTCATGCAGTTAATCAACTGAGCAGTTAGCCTCATGGCAAGCATGCTAGACATGCAACATACACATCTCATGCAGTATGCTAAAGCGTAAACACTCACAGTGTACTCCGAGCCAAAATAGAGAACTACTTAGAAATCATGC